TATACAGTATATAGCTGTTAATACTATATGGACATTGGGGCAGCCATATTTGATATTTACATGTAGTGTAGCATATTATAGGTAAAATCATTGTGTGGGATTCATGATAGTTGTGTGTCATGTGATTATGGTCGAGTTACTGCAGGTCATCTGGATGAATCAACAGGTTGTAGCTCTATCACCACGGAACCTTCCAGAAGTCTGTAAGAAGAAAGGGGTGGAGGCCTAATCTGCATATTCATGGAGGGTCCGGCCAATCCCAGGTTTGGAGGCCCCTGGTAGAGTGTTGGACTGGCCTATAAATATGGGAGAGTCAGGCCGACAGAGGAGTCGGGTGGAAGATGGAGTACTGAGTGACTGTCAGTGTCTAGGAGGGCCCCCCTAGGTCTGGGGAGCGCTGGCCTCTAGGATGGGCTTGGGCTGGGTCAGGAGGATACATTCTGTGGAGAAGCATGGATGGAATAAAGTACTGAAGCAGTAGAGGACAGTGTGAGTATAGCAGCACACTTTGAGATCTACAAGGAGAAAGACTGCCAAACGTAGCAAGCTTTCTAAGGACCGCATTGAGCTCAATCCTTTAGCCGTGTCCTGGATCTTCTGAGAAGCCAGGAGGGCTGGTAGTGCTTGCAGGCTGTGGGGCTGGGAGCAGCTCTGTAAGGGAGAGAGCAGACCTCTCTGCATGTAGCTACAAGTAATGTGATATTTGAGGAAGTGCTAGTTCCTCACCCGCAAGGGGCAGCTGTTACTGATCCGCAAAGACTGACGGCTTTCAGGAAAAGAACAGTCCAGGATCTGCTTTGTACATAGGAGGGAAGTGTCCCCCTTCCATTGTTCCAAGTCAAATCGGGCATCTGATAATCACTACTTCCCTATCCAAGTTGAGTTCCCCTAATAAAACAAAACCAAGTTCATGGACTGGTCACTGTCTTTGGATGCAAGTCTGTGAAAAATACCTGTTGCCTGGCTGTGCGGAGAGAAGTTTAGGGATACCCACAACACATGATAGTACTACATACATATACAAGTTCTACCTGCTTTGCAGTGTTACGCTGGCTATAGATGACCATTTGTTTTCAACCAGCGGGCTGAATGAAAAAAAAATGAATGGACTCCTCCATCCACAGAATCAAGTGGGATAGAAGAGTCCCACTCCCCAGGACATTGTATTCTGACAGTGGGATATCTGCTGATCAGCTGCAGCCACTGAAGGACAAACATTTTTTAGCAATCCAGTTTGACAGAAGTCAATCTAACAATCATCTTCTGTCAAACAGAGTTGGCCACACATGGTTCCAAGTTTGCCTAGTTACTGCTAAACTGATTGCATTTCGATCCATCTATGGCCAGTTTTACACTATAGCTCAGATATGTTCTTCCTTCTTACAATGCAAGTCTGTGAATTGGCCATCTGATTGAAACCTATTCATTTCCTAAGTGGCTGATACTTCACTAAATAGTAAAGTGAGTGCAGGTTATCTGCTTCCTCTAGAGGCTAATCTACTAATTACTATGTTGAATACAATATACATAAGAACAAGCTTGTAAACTGTGAAAGTCCCATCAAAAAGTACTTTAAAGCAGAACTCTAGTTTTAAAGATGATCTATAGTCACTGCATATACACATACACACATGAAAAATTTTATTTCATGCTGCCTGTCTGCTGGTCATCTCTTTCAGTAACTTCCTGTATTTGCAGCTTCTCCTCTGCTGTTTACTTTCACCATCTAAGGACTACATATCCATTGGTACCTTGCTGCCTGCAATCTGAAATTCCTGTACTAACTGTGCCTCTGAAATGCCAGCTATCAGCCCCTGTTATTTTGACCATAAATACACTTTAAGTAAATAAGATGCCCAGACCTCAGTGTGGCACTCATTTCCTTTCATAAATTTGTGTCTGCCATGGGATGTCACAGATTTCCCATGGTAAATGATGGTCAGCATCATTCAACCAACTTCCCAAGCCCAGATGGTCATGGACAAAAATCATCACGCCAGCCTGGGCTTGGGTTCTAGCTGCAGAGATGAGCTAACGTCATCAGGTGATCACTGTTCAGAATGAGATCTGGCCACCTGCAAAATAGTAGGGAGGACCAGTATTGTCTCTAAACTGGCCAGAACCAGAAGTGTGGGAGGGACAATGCTCAGGGGGGACAGGGGTGGACTGACAACTCATGGGGCCCCCGGGCAATAGGGGATCATGGGGCCCCTGTGTCCTCACCCACACTCAAACCACACTCAAAAAAGCCTATGAAAGGTACCAGGGGCATCTCAGGGGGCCCCCTACTGACCCCCGGCCCTCGGGCAGTGACTGAGTTCCCAAATGGTCAGTCCGCCCCTGGGGGGGAGTGTAGATTCAAACTGGAGATCTTATTTAAAGGGTCTTCACTGTCACTGATTGCAGGATATTGGTTAACCACAAGATGGAGATGTTTCGCAGTTTAGCTATTACAGAGGCCGTTCTTCACTCTACTAAGATTACAGACTTCCATAACCCAAATTGTCTCTAGTTACTAGTTATCCTGCTGTGTTTTCAGTTACTTCAGTGCAGTACACTTTGCATCACAGTCTACCACTTGAAATACAAATTTCTTAGCCAAATTCCATACTGTAGCATATAGCTTTAGTGTGCCCCCCTCCATTGCTCTGAACTCAGGACTACTCCTGCAGCACATGTGTCTTGGGGAATAGTAACTGTCACGTACCTGGTTGGGGAGCCTGATGTGGAGAGAAGGCGTCCTCTTACGACTCCCGCTTGGAGCCCCTGATAGTGGGAACAGATGGTGCAGAGCCAGTAGTGGCATGAGTGCCGGATAGATCTGGAGCTGGCGGCAGGTAGCTGAGGACCCAGGAGATCCAGATGCAGGCCAGGTGTGGATGCAGGAACATGTTTGCAGCAGCAGGCAGGTATGGCGGCAGTCAGGATGCAGACTGGACTGGACACAGGAGCGGGGATGCAGCAGCAGGCAGGTATGGCTGTGACCAGGATGCAGGCCGGATACAGGACCGTGGGTACAGCAGCAGGTAAGTGTAGCGGTGACCAGGATGCAGGCCGGATGCAGGACCGTGGGTGCAGAGGCAGGTAAGTATGACGGTGACCAGGATGTAGGCCAGATGCAGGACCGTGGGTGCAGCCGCAGGTAAGTATGGCAGCCGTCAGGATGCAACCCAGGTGCAGGTACAGGTAAGTAGGTGCAGCAGAGTCAGACAAGGCAGGTCAGTATTAAGCAAGCAGATCAAGTACAAGGGAGCAGGCAAGCGGATGGTCAGGGATTGCTGAGGTCGGTGCAGGCAGAGTTCTTTCTTAGTCAGGTCATATCAGAATACAGGCAACAGAATCAGGTAATAAGTGCAGGGAATGTTGTAGACCAGAAGGCATTGATTTTACTGTTCTGCGGGTTTAAATGGCCCGCCTAGCGATGACGTGTACGCTACTGCGCATGAGCGAGCTTCTGCACTTGCGCCTGCACGTTCCGGCACCTGCACACTCGCACCGCCACGGCCCGAGGGGATCCGTCGCTGCTGCATGGTGACAGGATCCCTGACAGTAACAGTGCTAATACCTCAACTTCAATGCATTGCAATTGCAGCTGTAAAGGAACTTGCTTGATCAAGTCAATTCCCTAAATATTGGAATACAAATTCTACTGGCGTCTCCTCCCGCTCCTTCCTTAACTGTATCAATCTGTGCCTCCACTTACTCCCACAAAGGGACCCTTTCTAGTTCCACTACCATCAATCAGGGGGATTTTGCCTACTACTGAGCTTTTTCTTCTTCAGGAAATCTTGCTCTCAAATAAATAGGACCTCAACCCTAATGTGCACCAAATTGGACCCCAACAAGCACACAAGCTTTTTTTTTTTATATTCTGGGGTGGTACTAAAGGGGATATTACTATCTATAGGTCCAACCCTGTTCCCAGCATCTGAGAACCCAAAAGTGAGTTAGTCCAAATTCTTGATAGCCTATTTCAGCTCATTTTGGGAATCCTATCTCAGCTCAGCAATTGGCGTTTAAACTCTGGTTCTGCAGGGCATTTTGGGTTTGTTCTAAAGTGGTACTGTGCTTGATCACTTGGCTGAGACTTTCAGAGTGTCTAACTTATGTGCACACTGGACGTTTTCACAACTGCTGTTTTTTGGCTTTTGGTGTTTTCTACAGCCAGTAAACTCCCCAGCATGTTATCTTATGTGTCCATGCACACATAGACTGTAATCAGCATTTTTTGGCAGGGGCATTTTTTGGCTGGAAAAAAACCCAGAACTAGTGGGTTTCTAGAGGTGTTTTTTAGCTGTACAAATGCTCTAAAGCGGTAAAATGCAGCAAACCAGCGTTTTTGGAGCAAAAAAAAAATGAGGCTAAATGCTATAAAAAAAACCGCTGAAAAACTCACGTTTTTAATGTGACTTTACAACGCTAACATTACCAGTGTTATTAAAACGCCCAGTGTGCATGGAGCCTTACTGTTCTCTTTTGCACTTATACTTTTTTTTACTTTTATCTCAATACAATCAGAACATTGGTTCACCTTAAACTGTGTGAGTAATTTTTGTTTCAGGGCCAGGGGATTCTCCTGGTCAAAGTCTTATGGTGGTGTCAGCAGGGGTTGTGCTTCCAAATCGGGCTCATAACACACAGGGAACCCTAAAATACTCAGCAGCTTTTGAGGGAGTAGTGCTACAAGACTCTTTTGAGTGAGGGGGGGAGTGTAGGCACCTACTGGTGTCTGAATGAACCTTGAGCAGCCTTAAAACCTTTTTGTCATTTCAATTTTAAATCAAAAGGAACTGATCATATAGGATACAGAGGCTTTCATTGCTGATCTCTCCTGCTAAAGTTTCTAGCGATCTGTCATCCTTGCTTTCTTGTTTCAATACAGTATTTGGAGTCCTTGATGCAGGTTAAGTATAGATAATCAGGTTAATCTGAGATGCTTGACTATTGATATTTGAATTGTTTGTCATTTCCATTGCTTGACATCTACTTTTTCTTTTTTTCTGTTATGTTTCTCAGATGCGTATTGTTTGCAAGGATGTCTCTGCGGAGGTTATCTATGATGTTCTGCATGACACCAGCTACCGGAGGAAATGGGACACAAACATGATAGACACCTTTGACATTGGACGGCTTACAGTCAATGCAGATGTTGGATATTACTCGTGTAAGACACTCCATGTACCTGAGCAGGACTATATAAATGCCTTATGTGTATTGTGGGCAGATGTTCTATTTTTTAATGTGATCTCTACTATGCATATATTATTGATAGGATTTATTCATCTGAAAAAAGAGTGTAGTTACCTGCCATACAGTTATTAGATGTCCTGCGGTGGCAACTCTGCTCTATTGTGATAAATTCCTACACAGAAAATTTACAATTCACAATGCTTTCTCCAGGTAGACATCCTCCAACACGGTTCCCTCTGGACAAGATCTGCAGAAAGGCAATATATTTCCAGCAGCAATATAGCTCATTGCAACTGTCCCTCCTGTGGATCTAAATCTTTTGTCCTTCTTTCCTCTCCCAGTCCACTTTTTGATGTATATAGTGCTATAAAGTAATATTTAACTACCAGAATAGTTACACTGCACTAATCCATGCCTTCAACCCCTAAATTATTTTATTGGTTATTTTAAAAGCTAGTATAAAGGTAAATAGTGGTGAAAAACAATTGTGGAATTAATCATTTTTTGTATGTTACTTTTGTCATTGTTTGGTTACATATAGGTGAAACTTGAAAAATTAGAATATCGTGCAAAAGTTCAGTTATTTCAGTAATGCAACTTAAAAGGTGAAACTAATATATGAGATAGACTCATTACATGCAAAGCAAGATAGTTCAAGCCATGATTTGTCATAATTGTGATGATTATGGCTTACAGCTCATGAAAACCCCAAATCCACAATCTCAGAAAATTAGAATATTACATGCAATCAATAAAACAAGGATTGTACATAGAACAATATCAGACCTCTGAAAAGTATAAGCATGCATATGTACTCAGTACTTGGTTTGGGCCCCTTTTGCAGCAATTACTGCCTCAATGCATCGTGGCATAGAAGCTATCAGCCTGTGGCACTGCTGAGGTGTTATGGAAGACCAGCTCTCCTGCATTGTTCGGTCTCGTGTCTCTCATCTTTCTCTTGGCAATGCCCATAGATTCTCTATGGGGTTCAGGTCAGGTGAGTTTGCTGGCCAATCAAGCACAGTAACCCCACAGTCATTGAACCAGGTTTTGGTGCTTTTGGCAGTGTGGGCAGGTGCCACGTCCTGCTGGAAAATGAAATCAGCATCCCCATAAAGCTTGTGTGCGGAAGGAAGCATGAAGTGCTCCAAAATCTCCTGGTAGACGGCTGCATTGACCCTGGACTTAATGAAGCACAGTGGACCAACACCAGCAGATGACATGGCTCCCCAAATCAACACAGACTGTGGAAACTTCACACTGGACTTCAAGCATCTTGCAGTGTGTGCCTCTCCATTCTTCCTCTATACTCTGGGTCCTTGGTTTCCAAATGAGATGCAAAAGTTTCTCGCATCAGAAAAGAGAACTTTGGACCACTGAGCAACAGACCAGGTCTGTTTTTCTTTAGCCCAGGTAAGAAGCTTCTGACGTTTTTTGTTCAGGAGAGGCTTGGCAAGAGGAATACGACATTTGAAGCCCATGTCCAGGATCCGTCTGTGTGTGGTGGCTCTTGATGCACTGACGCTTTTGAATGGCCTTTTCCTGACAATCCTCTCCAGGCTGCGGTCATCCCTGCTGCTTGCGCACCTTTTTTTCTTCCACAATTTTTCCTTACACATAACTTTCTATTAATGTGCTTTGATACAGCACTTTGGGAACATCCAACTTCTTTTGCAATTACCTTTTGAGGCTTTCCCTCCTTATGGAGGTTGTCAGTGATGGTTTTCTGCACAACTGTCAGGTCAGCAGTCTTTCCCATGATTGCGATTCCTACTGAACCAGACTGAGAGACCATTTAAAGGCTCAGGAACCCTTTGCAGGTGTTATGGCCTAATTAGCTGATTAGAGTGGGACACTTTGCACCTAGAATATTGCACCTTTTCACAATATTCTAATTTTCTGAGATTGTGGATTTGGGGTTTTCTTGAGCTGTAAGGCATAATCGTCACAACGATGACAAATCACGTCTTGAACTATCTTGCTTTGCATGTAATGAGTCTATCTCATATATTAGTTTCACCTTTTAAGTTGCATTAATGAAATAAATGAACTTTTGCACGATATTCAAATTTTTTGAGTTTTACCTGTACTCTGTGTCATAAGGTGTCCATCTTTCTCATATCAAAGTTGGGAGGCATACATCGTCTCCATCAGAGCAGAAACGTTTTAAAACCGCTCCTTCTGGACAGAGCCCTGAGGAGGAAGAGAACCCTCTGGAAGGTTTATCCAAACATTTTATCATCTTCCATCAGCTCACACTACTGACCCAAAGCCTCAGTAATTCCTTAAGGAGGATGAAAAATTCATAACTTGGTTATTGGTTTTTCGAACTCAGACTACTGAAGCCTCAACAGCAGCAGGCAGAAGCAGTCAGCTCGAGATTAGGATCACCTGCAAAGCCAAAAAGGTAAATAAAGCCCAGGCTGCTGCATCAAGAGTTACATTTACAGCTTCCTGACCTCCCCATAGCAGAACTACTGCTACAGGTTAGCAAGGATGCGCAAAAGCATGTGTATATGTTCGTGATTCTGCATTTCTGGGTAGGGTGCGCGTGCACCGCCATACCCACGCCGCCATTGGCAGCTACAGATGTTGATCAGTGGGTCTTTACCAGAGATTCCCCACCAGTACCAGGCGATTGCCGAGTATCACGGACAGGAGAGACCTGTGTGTAAAGAACACAGGTATCTCTCCTGACAGCAGTAACATGCACAGCAGAGAAATACACAGCAGTATGTTTCCCTAGTAAAATACACACAGTAAAATAGCACACAGCAGACAGTTAACCCTTTGATCGCCCCAGATGTTAACCCCTTCCTGCCCAATGTCATTAGTACAGTGTCAGTGCTTTTTATTAGCACTGATCACTGTATTAGTGTCATAGGGATGTCAGTGGCAGTCAGTTCCCCCCCAGTGTCAGAATGCCTGCCACAGTCCTGCTAGAAGTCGCTGATCGGCGCCATTACTAGTATAAAAAAAAAATTCCAGTATATAAATCTCCATTTGTAGACGCTATAACTTTCATGCAAACCAATTAATTTACATGTATTGGGATTTTTTTTTTAGCAAAGACATGTAGCAGAATACATTTTGGCCTAAATTTATGAAGAAATTTTGATTTTTCAAAATTTTTTTACTGGATATGTTTTTTTCAAAATTGTCAGCCTTTTTTTTTTTTTTTTTTTTTTTGTTTATAGCACAAAAAATAAAAACTGCACAGGTGATCAAATACCACCAAAAGAATGCTCTATTTATTGGTAAAAAAAAGACATAAATTTCATTTATGTACAGCATTGCATTACCGCGCAATTGTCAGTTAAAGTAACGCAGAGCCATATCGCAAGAAACGGTCTGGTCAGGAAGGGAGGTAAATCCTCTGGAAATAGTTAATAGAGAGACTACTGACTAACCACTTGCTGACCACCAACAGTACATTTACTGCTGGTGGCCAGCTTCTCCAGGCACTGCAACATACCTGTACATTGCAGTGAACGTCAATGTTTAGAGACACGTGCATACCCTGCTTATCTGTGCGATGATTGGAGACTGCACAAGTTTGTTAGCAGGTGACAGCTAATGATTTTGGCTGTATACCTGCTGATCGGCTGTGGCAAATCACAGCACAGAGATCTGTGCGTTTGTAAACCCAACACACAGGTTCTGACTGGGCTTCTTCCTGCTATTGGTTAACCTATACAACAGAAAGCAAGGAGAGACCCAGCCAGATCTGTAAGTAAAAGCAGCACAATACACGTGAATACAGTTGTTGGGCACACCGTTAACCTCTTGATCAGTCCTCTCACCCAGCCAATGTTTTATTACAGTGTACAGTATTATCACTGTATTTGTGTCACTAGCGATGTCAGCCAGTGTCTCTTCCAGGCATTGTCAGTGCCAGATTGCCCACCACATTATCACAATCACATTGTAAGTTGCTGATCATCGCCATTACTAGCATAGTGTCTGTATGGATCAGTATGTTGATCACACGCAGAACTATACTAGCGTCCCCAATAGTATAGTGTCCCCAAAAACACAGTGTTCGCAGGTTCAGCCCTGATCACTGCCAGCACTTGCATTTAACCTCCCCCCCCCCCCCCCCCAACACCACCAACACCAACAAATCCAGTGTATGTATACTTTTTCTAATCACTGCTACCTCTACATTGTCTGCAAAACCAAGTTGTTAGCAATATCAGGCCCAAGCTCTGCTAGCACTAACCGTTAATTTTATTTCTAGTGCACAAGCAGTCCCTGATTGCTAGTCAGGGGCTCTTTTTCCCCATAGTACTGCTTTAGAATTCATGAGGGAAAAGACAGTCAAGTGGAGATCCCTGGATGCCCAGGCTGCATGGGATGCAGTGGTAAGATAGTGTGGGACTTGTCCTCCTTGTTCTGTATAGGGTACCATTTGTACGTGGACAACTTTTATGCAAGCGTAGCAACTTTTTAGACAATTGTTCCTTCAAGAAATTGGCTGCTGTGGCACCATACAACATAATCGCAGGGTCTTCCCACAATGGCTCATTAATACCCCACTTAAAAACAGGAAAAAAGCTTGCTTGTGCAATGAAAACTACTTGCAGTAAAATGGAAGGACAAGCTTAATGTATTCATCCTGTTTTTTATTCATCCAGAAACAATGATCCGAATTCACATGGTATCTGGTGTCTTTTAAAAGCCTCTATGCATCCACAACTATAATCTAAATATGGGAGGTGCAGGCTCGAAGGACCACATGATGAAGCCATATTTAACTTCCCACAAAGCTAGACACTGGTACAAAAAAGTATCTATATATTTATTTTAATTGGTGCTATACAATGTGTTATTTACAAAGCTGGAAGAACTGGATCCTTCCTACAATTTCAGGAAGCGATCATGTATTCAGAAGGCGCTGTGGCCCAAAGCCCAAATTCAGATGCAGTTAGCCAGCTGCTTGAGCTGTATTTTCCAGATGACCGCCAACCTACC